GGGGTCGTCACCTGGTTTCGAGTCCTTTGTGTATAGCATGGATCGTTTCTTTGTTCTAGCGTTGTTGTTTGACCTTATTATTGATAACAAAGTTAAAGTTTCTGGAAAGTTAATCCTGAAAGATCCATGCTATACCGAATGTCCCGTGACAATTCTTGAGCGGCATTTCACGCGAATATTAATTTTACTCAATTAACGGCAAGCGTGCATGTGCAGACATGCAGCCGAACGCGATTTCGTCGCGATGCTAAATTTGCGATCTCAAACATTCCCGCCCGCCTCGTCATATGGTGACGAAACGAGACGGTGCGCTCGCTGAGGCGAGCGCTGTCGCGGCGCGACGTATCGATTAGCGATCGATTAATGGTCTCGATCCCGGCGCGAGTGCGAGCGGCCATGTTGCGAGGTGTGCGGCTGCGCATTGTTATAACACGCGACGATCTCGAGCGAGAAACATATTTCGCGCGATACATATGTTTCCGTGAATGTGGTCCGTCGGTATGTGCATGCCATGGTGCTGAAACCGGGAAAGTGAGGTGATGTAACGCGCGTGTGAGTGGAGTTACGGCTGACGACCGAACTCACTGATTTCGTGACGTGCACGTAGCACGTTGGCGGAAGGACAATAGTGACAATTACGCGAAGTGACGCGCGATAAAACGTACTAACGCGAAAAAACGGACAGTGAGGAAAACGCGAGCGATTCTACGCGAGAAAGCGAGGGCTGTTCGGTGGCTCACGTATCCTCGACGGTGGTGGTGTCGGCGGCCCCAGGAAGCAGCACCAGTTTGACAAGGGGCCGGACGAATTCGGAGGAGGCCGTGCGGACGGTCACCACTCGAACGACGCCGTCGTCTCCAGGATGCAGCTTCACGATCCGTGCGAGAGGCCATCGATTCGGCGGCGTGATCTCGGCCTGGATCAGGCACAGCATGCCGACCTCAGGAGCGTCCTCAGCTGCTAGCCACTTTGGTCGAGAAGCGAGGTGCTGAATGCATTCGCGCGACCACCGCTGCCAGAAATGATCGCGCATCTTCTGCACCAGGTGCCATCGAGACAAGGAATTGTCCGGCCGTTCCTCAAGTGACGGCTCAGGAGCCGCCAGCAAAGGTGCCCCGATGAGGAAATGCCCCGGCGTCAGTGCCGAGACGTCGTCAGGATCATCAGAGAGTGCGTGTAGTGGCCGAGAATTTAGGCACGCCTCAACCTGAGCGAGGAAGGTGACCATTTCCTCGAAGGTGAGAGTCGTCTCGCCGATGACTCGTCGCAGGTGAAACTTGGTGGATTTCACCGCCGCCTCCCAGAGTCCGCCGAAATGCGGTGCGGCTGGAGGATTGAAATGCCACCGAGTTCCGTGGACGGAGGCATCGTGAGCGATGCGCCGGCCGTCGGATGACGACGCGCGGAGAAGATTTTTCAATGCCCGGTCCGCTCCAATGAAGTTGGTGCCGCAGTCGGAGTAGATGTCCGAACAGAGCCCTCGGCGTGCAGTGAAGCGACGGAGGGCGGCCAAGAACGCCTCCGTCGTGTAGTCGGAGACTACCTCCAAGTGCACCGTTTTGGTGACGAGGCACACGAAGACGGCGATGAACGCCTTGTGCGCGCGGTGTCCTCGCCCTTAATTGGTCGTGCGGATGTGGATCGGGCCGGCATAATCCACGCCGGTTCGTTGAAATGGACGCGCCGGAGTGACCCGTGCCCGAGGAAGACTGCCCATCGGTGGTTGCGGAGTGGCGGCTCGCCATCGGGTGCACGTGACGCACCGATGCAGCAGCCGTTTCACCACGGCTCTGCCTCGTGGAATCCAGTGGCGGAGCCGGAGAGTACCAAGCGTTAGTTGCACTCCGCCGTGGAGTGTTCGTCGGTGGCAAGACTCCACGAGCAGGCGCGTGAGCCAGGACTCCGAGGGAGCTATCATTGGATGGCGTTCGTCGTCCGGAATCAGAGCGTGTTTGAGTCGCCCTCCGACTCTGAGCACGCCGTGGTCGTCGAGGAAGGGACTCAGCTTTGCAAGTGGGCTGCGGTGCGGCACAGTGCGGCCGGCGGTGACGGCCCTGATTTCCTCCGGATAGTGCAGTGATTGCACCACTCGAAGCCAAAGGACGTGTGCCGCGTCGAGTTCTTCCGGAGTGAGTGTTAGCGCCCGATCGTCCGGGCCGTGATCGTTGGTGCGGGAGGTGGTGCGTCGCCATCGTAAGCACCACGCGGTGACTCGCAACAGTCGGTGCAGTGACGAGAATCGAAGGAGCGTGTCGGGCTCCGTGTCGATCCTTCCGACGGCGGCTTGCACGACGGCCTTCCGTTCCGGCATCTCCGCGTCGGGGATCTCGTCGCTCTCGGCGGGCCACTGGGTTCGGTCCTCCCGCAGCCACGGTGGACCCGTCCACCACAGCGGATGGCCGATCAGCTCGCTGGGCGCGATCCCCCGGGAAGCGCAGTCGGCCGGGTTCTCTCGTCCAGGAACGTGCCGCCACTGGGCCTCGGGGAGAGTTCGCTGGATCAGCGATACCCGGTTGGCCACGAACGTCTTCCACCGGGATGCGTGACCCCTGATCCAGTAAAGTGTCACCCGGGCGTCGGACCAAAGGTAGATCGGTGCTGTGGACAAACGTAAAGTGTCGCGAGCGTGTCGCGTTAATTTAGTGAGCAGTGCGGCCGCGGACAGTTCGAGTCGAGCGAGGGACACCTGCCGAATCGGGGCTACCTTGCTCTTTGTCATGAGCAAGTGCAGTGTGGCGGAACCGTTCCTCGTAACGCGGAGGTAGACGGCCGCGGCGTAGCCTCGCTCGGACGCGTCGGCGAATCCGTGGATCTCGACTCGTGAATCTGCTCCGCTGTCGAGCCAGCGGGTCACGCGAACGAGTTCAAGCCGCGGAAGCTCCTCCAGGAAGCTCCCCCATTGTTGAGCGTCGGCCGACGGAAGAGGGGCGTCCCAATCCAGCCCCTTCAACCAGGTGGACTGGATGAGGATTTTCGCTCGGATCACGACGGGGGTGAGCCACCCTAATGGATCAAATAAGCGTGCGGTTTCCGAGAGGACGCGCCTCTTTGTGAACACGGTGATTGCGCGCGGACGAATCGCGAAGGAAAATTCGTCTTCCGTCGGGTGCCAGCGGAGACCGAGAGTGGAGTGTCCGTCTGTCTCCCACACGTGGAGGGCGCGTTTAAGGCGGTGCTCCTGCGGGATGCCGACGAGAACGTCTTCGGAGTTCGCGGCCCACTTGCGCAACGGAAACCCGCCCGCCGTGCAGAGTTCGCGCAGTTCGGTTTGCACGGCAACCGCGTCGTCGATAGTGTCCGCACCGGTCACGACATCGTCCACGTATCTGTCGTCCTCGAGAGCGATCGCGCCACGCGGAAACCGAGCCCCCTCGTCTTTGGCGAGTTGCAGGAGCGTGCGAATCGCGACCCACGGTGAGCACGTGAGGCCATAGGTGACCGTTGTCAGGCGGAGAACGCGCACGAGTAGTTCGACGGCACTTTGCCACAGGATCCGCTGGTCGTCACGATCTTCCGGGTGGACGATGATCTGGCGATACATCTTCTCGATGTCGGTGATCATCACGTAGCGGTGCCGACGCCAACGCAAGAGCACGTCAGCAAGTGCCGGCAGGAGATTTGCGCCTGCGAAGAGGTGGTCGTTGAGCGAGTCTCCGGAGCTGGTGCGTTGCGAGCCATTAAACACTACGCGAAGTTTGGTGGTAGTGCTGGCTTCTTTCAACACGCCGTGGTGTGGGAGGTAGCACACGCCGCGAGTTGTGTTCTCGTCCGACGGTGCTACGGCTTCCAAGTGCCCGAGGTCCTCGTACTCCCGCATAAACGAGCGGTAGAGCTCTCCGAACCGGAGATCCCGGGCGCACTTGCGTTCCATGGCCGTGAGTAGTCGCTCAGCGGGCTTGCGGGTCTCGGCGAAGTGCTTCGGCGTCGAGGCGAACGGCAGTCGGACGACGTACCGGCCAGCGGGTGTGCGCTCGTGGGTGCGTACCTTTGTCGCTCGCACTCTTCTTCCTCGGGAGTGAGCGCGACGGAGGCGGGAGGCTCGCTCTCTTGCTCCCAGAAACGGCGGACCAGCTCGGCCAAGTCATGGTCGGCGGTACACTGGAGTGAGCTGTGGTGACAGTGGAGGGTCGCACCACAGCCCCCTGAAAGAATCCATCCCAGGATGGTTTTCTGAGCGATCGGCGTTTGAGGTTCGCCTCGGCGGAGACCATCCTCCAGGATGGTCGAGCACACCTCGGCGCCCAGCAGCAGCTCGACTGGGTCGTTGGCGGCGAAGCGGGGGTCGGCCAGAGGAAGCCCTCGGAGGTGAGGCCACGAGGTGCGGCACTTATTCGCGGCGCCCTGGTAGAGCGAGAGACGCGGAAGCACGAACGCGACGGCGGTGAGAGTGGCTCCGGTGGTTTTCGACTTGATGGTCAGGGACACCTTGCCTCGTGTGGATCCCGACTGGGAGCCGCCGATGCCGAAGATAGACACTCGCGTGCGCGATCGCGGCAGGCGTAGTCGCTGCACCAGGGACTCCGATACGATCGACACTTCGGAGCCCTGGTCGATGAGCACCCGAACCTCATGAGGATCTCCGTGCCGATCGGCGATAGTCACGCGCGCGGTTGCGAGAAGAATCGCCTTACTGTCGTCGGCCTTTCCGACGGCGGAAAGCGTGCTGACTTCCGCGGGGGGTGCCGTCGCGGAAACGTACGCGTCGTGCAACATCGAGTGGTGCCGCGCGTTGCACGTGAAGCAGTTCCGGGTTGACTTGCACTTCGCCACCTGATGATTGCCGAGACAGTTGAAGCAGAGCTTATTAGTCTCGACCACTGTCTTTCTCTCACTGGCCACCTTGGCCTTGAAGTCGGGGCACCCCATGAGCGAGTGCTTCCCCTTGCAGAGCGGACACTGAGAAGGCTCGGACCGCTTCGCGACGTGAGTTTTCGCGGACCGTGATTGTTCACTCGCGGGTTTAGTGGTCTTTGGATTTGCTGCGTTCAGCGTGAGGATCCGTTTGTTGATGAAGGTCATCAACGTAGCGTGAGGCGGCGGTTCGAAGGAGTCTCCCGAGGAGGACTCCCATTCCAGACGCGTTCGCGGGTCAAACAGTTCGACGACGAGGTGATTAAACAGGTCCATGCCGTGCGAGTCGATGGGCCTTCCGATGCTCTCTTGCGCATTGACGGCGGACGTGACGGCGTTCTGGACGCGGCTGAGTTCGTCGGCGGTAGCGGCTTTCATCTTTGCCACGGCGGTAAACGTGGCGAAGTTGGAGCGTATCAGCTCTCTCTTATTTTCGTAGTGCTGGCAGAGCAGCTCCCACGCACGATCGTAATTTTCGCCCGTAATCGTTAATGATTTTATTATGTTTTCAGCCGGCCCCTTGAGGCATGAACGCAGATAGTACAGCTGTTCGACTTTCGAGATGGACGACTGCTCACCGATCACTGATTTAAAGAGATCACGGAAGGATGGCCAGTCCTCGTAGGAACCCGAAAATTCCCGTAATTGGACACGGGGCAGCGAAGTTCGCGACGCGCGGTCGGTACCGTGCTCCACCGGCGCGGAGGCTTGCGCGGGCTTGCGGCGATCGGCCTCGCCAAACAGGACGCTACGCTGCTGCACGTAAGTCATCTCGGCGGCCTCGAGTAAGTCTGATTGAGCGTACTCACTTTCAGCGTAGCGGCTCGAATCCTTGTAGCAGTTTCGAATCAGGTCGTGCTGACTCTCGAACTTTGCCCACAGGTCGTCGAGGATGCGAATGCGGGTCTCGATGGCGGCGAGGGTGATGTTCGCTTGCCCCATCTTCTTCAGGTTCTCTTCGGCTCTGGAGATACGTTTGAAGAGTTCGTGTTGGCTGCTGACCATGTTGCTCTGGTCGAGACTCATGGTTGTCTTCTGTTGGAGGAGGCACTCCCGAACTCGCGGTTGCCAGCGATGATCCGGCTCGAAGGACCAAAAATGTTCGAGAGCACGCGGTAGCGCGAAGTCGCGCGAGGTAACGAGAC